AAAAAGCCCCCGGGACCTACGGTCACCAGGGGCTCAAACCTTTTCAAAATTTCAAATCTATTTAAAGCAAAAAGCCCCCGCGGGGATCGGCCATTAGAACCGATCAACCAGGGGCCAATGCATACCATGCACCACGGATCTTAACCTCTCAAAAATTTTAAAGCAAAAAGCCCCCGGGATCGGCCACTAGGGTCGATCAACCGGGGGCCAATGCCAGCACCATGCACCACCATGGCTCCAAGAGCCATCAAAAAAGAGAGTAAGGAGAAATACAACGGGAGGGAGGCCTTAAGAGAGTCATAGTTACTCCCGCCGTTTACCCGCGCTTGCTTGAATTTCTTCACGTTGACATTCAGAGCACTGGGCAGAAATCACATTTAACCAAATCTATTATAGCTAGTAATTCTCGACGAGTCACGCAATAATTCTTCTCTGTTTTGCTCAGCACACGGCTAAAGTACGCAATAACTTTCTCTAACCCCTCCTGTCTTTGAGACAATACCGCACCGATCCCAATGTTGGAGGCGTCCGTGTCTAACACGAACTCACCTTCCCCTTTTGGAAACAAAAGTATTGGGGAGGACGTTAACACTCGTTTCAAATTTTTAAACGAATTCTGACATTCCTTTCCCCAAATAAATTTTTCTTGATTCCCGGTTAACGTGAAAAGGGGTTTTGCTAAAGAAGAGAAGCCTCTCACAAATTTCCGGTAGTAAGAACAAAAACCTAGAAAACTGCGTGACTGTCTTTTGGAGTGAGGGACCGACCAATCTTTCACGGCAGAAATCTTATCGGGATCTGTTGCGACGCCCTCTGCCGAAACCACATGTCCCAAATATTTTACTTTATTTCCAAAAAGTATACATTTTTTAGGATTAATTTTCAAATTAACTAAACGTAGTTCAGAAAATACTTTCCTCAAATTCTCTAACATCTCTTCGAAACTTCTTCCAAAAATAATAACGTCATCCAGATAAGTCAAACAAATCTTCGATAATTTCTGTAGAATTTTTTTCATTAATCGCTCAAAGGTAGCAGGAGCGTTACAAAGACCAAATGGCATCACAACGAACTGCCATAACCCATTTCCGATAGAAAAAGCTGTTTTCTCGCGGTCCTCTGGACGGATCTTAATTTGTCAATAACCGCTCTTAAGATCAAGAGTAGAGAACCAACTGTTACCTGACAACTGATCAAGAATATCGTCTATTCTGGACGTGGGAAAAGAATCCTTTTTGATAACCTCATTTACTTTCCGAAAATCGATACAAAAACGAATTGATCCATCTTTTTTTTTAACAAGAACAACTGGCGAAACCCAGGGGCTACGTGATTCCTCTATCACACCCTGCTCCCTTATCTCCTCGATAATCCGATCGACCTCTCCCCCTCATCCGGATAGGAATACGCCGGGGAGTTTGTTTAATCGGAGTAGAGTCCTTCAGATTAATTTCATGACTGACAATTCCACAATTCTCCGCAACAATTTTTTCCGAAAAGACATCCTGGAATTTATTTAAAAATTCGGAAAAAACTTTCTTCTGTTTTTTATTTAAATATTTAGAATCATTTTCGAAAAGTTCCTTCAGAAAGAAAGGGACCATTTTAGAAAAACTTTCTATTCGAGAACAATTCAAAACCTTTCCGACACCTAGCTTCGTTTTTCCAAAAGCTGAATCAAAAATTCCTCCTAAGTTAACAATTTTCAAGAAATCTCCTCCTAATAGACATTCATCACTAATTTCCGCTACGAACATAAAAATCTTTTCAGAGAATTCTCCGATTTGAACTCTCACCCTAACCTTAGACTCAACTTGAACTCTCTCTCCTGTCGGATAGCGAAGAAAACAATTCCCAACCTGAATCTCCCCTTCAATTTCTCCAAGAAACTTTTTATTTAAGACAGAGACATCGGAACCCGTGTCGATTTTAAAGAAACAATCCCTCCCATTTAATTTCCCCTTATAGTAAAAATCACAAGAATCATACTTATTGTCACAAGAATCACTACTAATAGAACGAATCTCAACGTTCGGGGTTCTATCTACGCAGGTCGCTCTCCCCCCGCCGAGAGCAACTAATCCGCGTTTCCCTTTTCTATGTTCCCGGGGCACTCAGCCCGAAAATGCCCGACTTTCCCACAAAGCCAGCACTCTTTGGCAGAAGCACGGTATCGGTTATCGCGAGAGTAGCCCTTGCGACCGTTTTCCTCCTTCTTTTCTTCTCCCTTCTCGTCGTCTCCGTTTTGTAGCGCGAGCTTTTTATCCCCTTTTCCGAAATTTTCCTTTTTTTTTTACCGAATCCTCCGGAATTCTTTCCGTAAATCATTTTGACGGCTCTCGCTCTCTCAACCGCTAATTTTAAGGAAATCACACCTTCCAATTGAAAGGTCCTTTTTACATATCCGTCCGTTAATGCCGAGATAAATTGCGCACACGCAATTTTATCCCGAACCGCGAAGGGACACTCGGGATACGCCAAGCGAACAAGCCGCTCCAATTCGGAACCAAGAGACGCAAAATCCTCTCCGAATTTCTATTTTCGGTTTGTAAAGATTGAATAATGATTTTGAAAGAGGTGCCCCTCCCCGAAACGCAATTCTAGCTTTGATTTCAATTCCGCATACTCTAGACTTATGGCTGTGGGAGAATAGACGGTCAGAAATATTTTAAAGTTGCTTGTCTTAAAAGCCGTGCGGGACTTTGTGTTATTGCTGTTTACTCTATTTTATTTTTTATAAAATATAAATAAAAATTATAAGTTTAATTCAAATTTGTCAAATTATTTACTACAACCATACTTAATTGATTTCTCATGTTTCTTTAAAATGTAATGTATTATAGTTGTGCATTGTTATTAGTCCCGAATTTCCTTAGGACGGCCAGAGTGATGCCTGCTGCTTGTGAAAAACGATCTGCAGATCACGCGTAAAACAAAGGGAGGAATACGCTTCATCAAATTGCTCTTACTAATTGCAACATATGTATATATATATTAATAAATGTTTGAATATAGATTATGTCTCGATAATTCGACCGAAATAATAATTTCGAATTTTTATTATGTTTTGACATAATTTTAATTCGTCAAATTATTATGTTATATCATAATTTTAATTTAATATCTAGTTTGAATTCTTTATTATTATTAAGCCTCAAAATATTTTGCTATTAAAACGTACAACTTACTTGCACCCTTACAAAAATATTTCACAGCTTTTACACCTCACCTCATATAGATCGTTTTTAGCCCGTTTTTAACCCGTTTTATCATTTTTGTGTCCGTTTCTTGCACTCTCAAGCACGCGCAGTCTACTGCAAAAGAACATGATGAGTATACGCGAGTATGCGTATGAGTATTTTTGAGTAGATTGTCCGTTTTTAATACTCGTTTTTCAATCGATGAGTGACCACACGTTAATACGTTCCTTTCTTACTTACAAAGATGAGGACGAAGTAGGTTGTCCGTTTTCATTTTTCAGTTGATGAGTGACAATACGTTAGTACGTTCCTTTTTAACTTACAAGAAAATATCTGCGGATTTCGCCCGATTTTAACCCTTATGTTACATACAGTGGGATTTCGAGTCAGCTCGATTTCTATCCATCAAAATTTCTCATAATTTCTGAAAGACTCCCACTCCTTATCTCCTCCTTATCTCTAAATTGAAGTACATTTATTCTACAAGATTAAAAACTTTTTCAAACTGTACCGTAAGGGTTAAATGTTTTAGTACTTACACTATTTATCCTTCATTAATAAATAAGTGTGTTGACGATTGTACCGCCAGAACGGCGTTAGTGAGAAGTAGTATTAAGCAATATGGCGAAATAGGAAGGCTAACGGAATAAAGCTCTGTTTAATTTGACTGGATTTTCTGTGTATCCGTTCCTCAACATAATTTTGGCGCCCAACCAACGTGGCACGATCCCATGAGAAATGGGTTGTCGCGAGATAGAGACCGGGAAATAGTGAAAGTGTCCTGTAATCTCGAGGAAAGTAAACGGCGGGACGAACACGTCGTAGCGCAGCAGGACAAGATGGCTACCGACAAGGACATTGAACAGCCACGCAAGTGAACACTCGGTTACGAGAAAAGTGACAAGAGTGCAAGGTTTGCCGGAACGGAGGCGAGATCCGTTAATGACATAGTGCAAGATCGGGGCGGCGATCATCGCGCGTCGAGTGATCCCGCGTATCGTTGAGCTCGCGAAACGGGATTGGAAGTGTCCTCGGTCGGGGGATTCTTTATCGGGAAAGTGCTGTAGCTCGTCGCAGACAGCGAGAGTGAAGCACATCACACGCCGAGTGTCCGCATCGGGACGCTCGCATCATCATAACCGTCTTCGCACGTTGAGGTCCGCATCGGGATGCTCACGTCATTGTGATTGGCTCGCGCAAATCGAGAGTCGAATCGAGAATCGATCGTGACGCTGGCATAGGGATAACTCGATCACATCGAGATCCGGTCGAAGCGCTCACATAGTAACATTGTCATACAACGGGCGTCCGCATCGGGTCGCTCGGATCGTGGAAACGCATCGCGAGTGGATACGCGTCGCCAGTGAACGGGACATAGCTCGCTCACGCCGAGAGTCGCACGTCGCGAGTGTCGGGAAGCACTTCGCGGGTGCAGAGACATATCATATCTCACCAAGCCGAGAGATGCACGTCGCGAGTGTCGGGAAGCACCTCGCGGGGCAGAGACAATCGTATCTCGCACACGACGAGATTTGCGCGTCGCGAGTGAACACGCGTCGCCAGTGATCAGGGCATAGCTCGTATAGCTATATCGCGTCTAGCTCACGCCGAAAGGGACACGTCACGAGTGATACACGTCGGGCGTGTCGTGGAAACGCATCGCAAGTGCGCAGAGGCATTCAAGCCAGCCAACCGGGAAGTAACGTTTCGAGTGCGTAAACGCGTTCATCGCGAGAGATCACAAACGCGTACGTCGCGAGATTCGAGGACTCACATCGAGTACAAAGCAAGAGAACGAAAATGGCAGACGTAAGAAGATTGAAGCAGAATCGAGCTACGATAAAAGGTCAGATGACTTGAATAAATAATACTGTCGATGAAAATACGTCAGTTGCCGAAGCAAAGGTCAAGTCGACGAAAATCGAAAGCTTGTGGGAGGCTTTCCAAGAAGTTCAGAAAAAGATTGACGACGCAAGATTAGAAGGAATCGAAGTCGCCGCAGATGAAGAAGTGCTGCCTACCGCAGAGCAAGAGGCAGAACAACAGATTTTTGAAAATATCTATTTCGAAGCAGCAACGAAGATCCAAATGGTGCTCGATACAGCACAAGCCGCTAATCAGGTACAAGCTCAGGTCGCAAGGGCAGAGCCACAAAACAAAGACGGAAGGCGCGGACGGGGCGAACGGCGAATGGAGGTCAAGCTGCCAACGTTGAAACTTCCCGAGTTCAGTGGCAATTACAATAAATGGCTCTTATTTAAGGATGCGTTTACATCATTGATTCATGAGAACGACACACTCACCGAAATACAGAAGTATTAATATCTGCGAAGTTCCGTGACAGGTGAAGCGTTTCAGGTAATCGGAGGCTTGGCCACGACTGCAGCAAACTACGAAAATGCATGGGATCTTCTTCTAAACAATTATGAACATCCGAGGCTTCTAATTAACACACACTTGAGTCAATTGCTTGATTTTCCAGCCGTATTAAAGGACAAACCAGCAACAATGCGTCAACTGATCGTTCACGTCAGAACGCACTTAAAAGCTTTAGAGATACTAGAGCTTCCGGTTGATAAGTGGGACGAGCTTCTCATACACCTGTTAAAGAATAGGATGGATTACAATACACAGAAGAGTTGGGAAGAAGAAACCAAAAAGGACAAGGAAAATCGACCTACGTTGGAGAACTTTCTGACTTTTCTCAATGAGCAAGTACGAACGCTTGAGATAATTGACAAGACCAAGGGAAAGTCGGAAGCATCAAAGACGTCAGCAGGGAAAAAACAAGAAAGAAAAGTAGCTTTGGCAACCACCTCTCAAGAAGGTTGTGTCCTCTGCAGCAAGAATCATCAGTTGTACCGATGCTCGGATTTTTTGCAGCTATCGAGTGCTGACAGATTAAAGGAGGTGAAAGCGAAGAAACTGTGTATGAACTGCTTAAGCAAAGGACACTTTTCCGCGGCTTGTAAATCTTCAGCATGCCGGAGGTGCCAGAAGAAGCACAATACCCTGTTGCATCCAGAGCAAGAAGAGAAGACTGCAACCGATAAGAAGTCAGAAGAGGACGCGTCCAAGAAGGCAGTGGTAATGCACGGCACTCAAGAAACCTTGCAAGATACTGAAGAGTCATCTTCTGTAATCAACCTTGGAAGAAAACCCACGTCGTGCGTGGTGCTGTCAACGGCCCGAGTTATAGTCCATGACGTCAATGGAGGCCAGCACAAATGCCGTGCACTTCTAGATGCAGGGTCGCAATCCAATTTGATCACCCAGGAACTCGTCGACAGGCTCAGATTGAAATGTAAAAGGAGAGACGAAGTCATCAGTGGGATCAACCGATCACAAACCAATGTCGGTAAGACAGTAGAAGTAAAAATCCGATCGACGAACGCGGATTATGAGGTAGAATGTCTCGTGCTGCCTGCCATTACTGAAAGACTTCCTCAAGTCAAAATCAATACTAAACTGATTTGCTTGCCGGAGGGTTTGAGCCTAGCAGATCCTGATTTCCACACGCCAGGAACAGTGGATATTCTAATAGGAGCAGGACTTTTCTGGCAATTAATCTGCAAGGATTATATTCAAAGACCAAAGGGAATACCCAGATTACAACGTACGTTGCTAGGATAGATTGTAGGAGGGGAGCTTCTCGACGCCAGCTCGGAAACTCTAAGAAGCTTCTGCGGTCTCATCACAAATGCGCAACTCCAAGCGCAGTTAGAACGCTTTTGGAAGCAAGAGGAGACGCTCGAAAAACGGAGTCTCACCCAAGAAGAGATTGAGTGTGAACGGCAGTTCCATGAGTCGGTCAAGCGAGATGAAACTGGTAGGTTCATCGTAACACTTCCGAAGAAACCCGGAGTGAAACTCGGCGATCCAGAGAATCAAGCATTGTAGCGATTATATTCCCTAGAAAGAAGATTCAGAGGAGATCCAGCATTGAAGAATGCGTATGTTCAATTCATGGAAGACTATGAAACTCAAGGCCACATGTCGTTAATGGGACCAGGCCCAGATACGAGCACAAAGGTAGAGCAATCGTACATACTTCCGCATCATCCGGTGATTAAACCGGACAGCACCACAACTAAGTTACGTGTTGTATTCAACGCCTCAGCGAAGACATCGTTGCGAACATCGTTAAACGACAAGTTATTCGCCGGTCCAAACAAGCAGAAGAGCCTGTTCTGCATAGTCTTACGCTTTCGATCACACCCCTTTGTCATAACGGCGGACATAGCTGCAATGTTCCGACAGATACTCGTGTGCGAAGAAGACCGAGATTTACAACTGATTCTGTGGAGATCAGATCCATCGCAACCAGTTCAGATCTTTAGGATGAACACGGTGACATATGGCACCGCATGTGCACCTTATTTAGCCCTCAGCTGTTTGGAGAGATTAGCGATAGAAGAACTGGAAAGGTTTCTAAAGGCAACCTTGACGGTCGAAGAGATGAAGATGTTTCTCGAAATAAGGTTGAAGATCGAAGAGCTAAAGAAGTTCCTAAAAGAAGCATTGGACAATGAGAAATGAATCGGAGTTTCTACAAGCAATCCTGGTCTTGCTAGAAGATTTCTAC